TGTGCAAGAGCCAACCCCCATCCGATGGGTGGGGCGGAGCAGAGACCTGGGTGCAGGGGCTGTGTCTGGGAATTTAATTTTTAGTTTAACTTATAGCAAGGCTGATAATGATCCTTCCCTAAAGCCAATCCCCCTCCTCATTTAGGGGTGGAAACTGGCTTTGTAAAACTAATAAAAGGCTGAGAGATTAGGAGTATGAGAGAAGCCTGAACTCAGCTAAAATGTAAGCCTCCTTTTTTTTTTTCTTTGAGATGGAGTCACTCTGTCACCCAGGCTGGAGTGCAGTGGTGCGATTTTGGCTCACTGCAACCTCTGCCTCCTGGGTCCCGGTTCAAGCGATTCTCCTGCCTCAGCCTCCTGAGTAGCTGGGATTATAGGCAGGTGCCACCATGCCCAGCTAATTTTTTGTATTTTTAGTAGAGATGGGGTTTCACCATGTTATCCAGGCTGGTCTTGAACTCCTGACCTGGTGATTCACCCGCCTCAGCCTCCCAAAGTGCTGGGATGACAGAAGTGAGCCACCGCACCCAGCCCATAAGCTATAATCCCTCACTGCTCAGGAGTCATGTGACCAGAGGTCACAAGATTAGTGACTTCCCCAGTTGCTTCTAAAGATAACATCACTATTATGGAAACTAAGATTGATCTTTGGAGATGCTTTTCAGACTTTTGCATTCTGAAAATGGACTGACCCTACCTGGATTCATGACTCACAGCTCAGGCGGTCCTGTGGCCCCACTCAGAGGTGGACTCAGCAGGTGAGGACCATTTCTCACGCCCTGTGACGGCATCCCCAGCCAATCAGCAGCACCTGCTCCCCAGCCCGAACGCCCACCAAACTGTCCTGGAAAAGTCTAACCTCTGAGCCCTCAGGGAGACTGACTCCAGTGAGAACTCTGGTTCCCCCACGTGGCTGGGCTCTAATTAAACTCTGTCTTTACTGCAATACCATGGGCTTAGTGAACTGGTTTTGTCTGTGCGGCAGGCAGGAGGAGCCTGCTGGGCGGTTACATTCCCTTGTGTGAACCCCGGCTCCTGGCGCTGCTCCCCGCCTGCCAGGGCCCTAAAGTGGATGCACAGCTTCTGCCAGCCTGTGCACCCTCACCAGCTCTGCCTCTCCCTCCCTACTGCCAGGAGCCTCAGGAAGGAGCCCCATGGAAAGACCAGCCCAGGACATGAGTGCCTGTGTGGCAGATGGTGACAGTGTTATCTGCTGTTATGGGGACAGAGCCACCCTTTCCTTCTCCCTCCCCTTCCTCAGGATGAGGAGCTTCTGATTAGCCTTCCCTGCAGCTCTGCGATGAGACACTGATTCCACCTGCCTTCATCTCAGTGCATCTGGGAGGCCTTGTCTCCAGGACATGTCCCTGGGTGCAGGGTTTCCCCGGCTGCTCTCCTGCCCTGTGGAAGTTTGGGATTTGCCCGAATGACAAAGATATTCTGAGCACCTGTGGCAATAACCCTGGGGTGAGGAGCTGTTGGGGATGAAGCAGCTGTGGTCTAAGGGGGAGGAGCAGCATTAAAGAGAAGACAGTCCCGCTGCTGGGGGGAAGGCAGAGCTGTGCACGAAGCACTCAGGATACAGCACAGAGGAGAAATCTCAGCCCCACCTAGAGGGAGGGGACAGAGAAGGCTTCCTGGGGGCAGCAGCAGCTGCTCCTCCGGGGATAAAAGCCTAAACGACACTTTGGGAGGCTGAGGTGAGCAGATTGTGAGGTCAGGAGATCGAGACCATCCTGGCTAACATGGTGAAACCCCGCCTCTACTAAAAACACAAAAAATTAGCCGGACGTGGTGGTGGGTGCCTGTAATCCCAGCTACTCAGGAGGCTGAGGCAGGAGAATTACTTGAGAGCAATTCTCTCAAGTGGAGGTGGAGGTTGCAGTGAGCTGAGATCATGCCACTGCACTCCAGCCTGGGTGACAGAGCAAGACACCATCTCAAAAAAAGAAAAAAAAATGCAAAAAGGGTGCTTCAGGCCTCAACCAAGTTAAACTGGAGGGGCTGCACAGGGCACTCCGGGCGGGTATGACGCTGTGGGAACCGGCTCTGCTGACTCTCAGCACCTGCCTTCGAGCTCTGTGGGCAGTGCAGCGTGGCCACGTGGAGCTTGTGTGTGTGCGTGGAAAAGGCCTTGGTGGCGTGGGCACAGCAAGTAGGCTTTCCTTTCCCTTCTGTGGGACTGCAAAGGGTGCAGGTGGCAGAGCCCAGGCCTCTGGGCAGAGGTGAGTCACGTGGAGGGCGTGCGTATGTTGAAGAGGAGGGGGCGCAGAAGGGCAGGCCTCTGGAAGGGAGGGCTGGAGCAGGGACATACATGTGGGGAGGGGAGGGAAGGGAGATGGGGGCCCAGTGGGGAAGGGAGAAGCCACATCGCACCGTGATGCTAACCTCAGAGGCCGGGCCCACCTGCAGCCTCTGCAGCTGCCTCCCCACACCTGGGCTGTCTCAGCTCCGCACTGCTAAAAAGCCCTTTGCTCCCCCACTCACAGCAGCACACTCACAAGTCTAAAAGGGGGAAGGCCCCTGAGTGACCATCCCTGGAGGAGCAGACACACCAAATATGGTAAATGCATGCAATGGAATATTACTGAGCCATGAAAAGGAAGGAAATTCCGACATCTGCTACAACTCGGGTGAACCTCAAAAACCTCACGCCGAGGGCAAGGATCCAGACACAGAAAGACAAGCATCACACAGCTCCATTTGTACGAAGTACTGAGAACAGATGAATTTGCAGTGACACAGAGTAAGTGAGAGGCTGCCCAGGATGGGAACAGAGGGAACAGGAGGCCTGCTTAATAGGTATGGGATTTCTGTTTGGGAAGAAGAGAAAGTCTCAGCGGTGGATGTTGGTGATGGCTGCTCAACATTCTGAATGCTGCTGAATTGCACACAGAGGATGGTTTACATGTTACACGCATCTTACCACAATGACAGACCCATATGGTCTGGATGTGTCCCTGCCCAAATCTCATGTCGAGCTATAATCCCCAATGTGGAGGTGGGGCCTGGCGGGAGGGGATGGGGACATGGAGGTGGGTTTCTCATGAATGGCTTAGTTCTCATGAGATCTGGTCATTAAACATGTGGCACCTCCCCCTCGCTCTCGCTTGCTCCTCTTTGTGCCGTGTGAGATGCCTGCTCCCCCTTCGCCTTCTACCATGATTGGAGACTTCCTGAGGCCGCCCCGGAAGCAGAGACCACCATGCTTCCTGTGCAACCTGCAGAATTGTAAGCCAAGTAAACATCTTTTCTTATAAATTACCCTGTCCCTTTACAGCAGTGTGAGAAGGAACTAAGACACAAACAGCACAGACCCTAGAACTGGAGCTGGGTGCTGGGCACAGAGCTGGAGCCGGGCGCTGGGCACAGACCTGGAGCCAGGCGCTGGGCATCCAGTCTCATTGCCGCTTGGCTGGCCCTGGCGTGACCCCCCAGTTTCCCACGCCACCCCTGGCTTCCTGAACCCCCTCCTGGCACCCCTCGCTTGCTGAAGCTCTTTTCTCTGAACGTCTGCCTCGGTCCCTGACACTCAGGGCCTGCCCAGGTGCCCTGAGCCCCCTGGATCCTGGCATCCTACCCCCAGGCACAGGTGAACCCTAAGGCAGAGCTCCGACACCCACACATGCTGCTTGCAGTTCAGACATTGCGGTTCCCGATCCTCCTGTCCCGTGCTCCCCCCATGCCACAGGCTGACCCACCCCCAGCCATGGGGGCCAACTGGGGCCCAGTCACCTGAATACAACTGGAGAGCACAGAATCTGCCATAGTCACTGTCTGCAGTGACACCCACCCGTTACTGATGGCACCCTGACACCCCTTCCTGACAGCACCCTTGGCCCCACCATGGGGGGGCTCTTCTACAGCCAGGTCCATCCCTGAGGGAATGCTGAGCTGTACCTCGGTGGCTCTGAGTGACCCCTTTGAACACATTTTCGTGCAAAGAGAGGCAGAAATACCCTATGCTCTTGGTGCCTCTCTCCATGCATCCTCATTTGTATGCAAATACTGCTTGGCCATTCCGGAAAAAATCTGTTGGGCTTGACCCTTGGTGCTATCGATTGGTTCATAATCATAACCCTTCCCAATTGCAAAAGGTCATCTGATGTGTTTCCCTCCTCTGGCCCCCGCAGTCCGCAGCTCCTGCTGGGCTGAGCCTCTGTCCTCAGGGACACTCTAATTATTTCGGACCTGAAGCAACACCCTTCTAAATCTGCACCAGCGGAACGGAGCAGGAACACCAGGCTCTGAGTGAAATCAGGGAACTCTTTCAAGTCACCATCCAGCGAGGAGGGTGAGCTTCTGTGGTCTCCTCGGCCGAAGGGAGGGCGTTGCTGTCATTACCTGAGGCACACTGGGCCCAGAGAGGGATAGGGACAGGATCTGATCTAAAAACAGACGTTGCTTCCCACTATGAGCCCCACAGAAGGCAGAGTCCCTTGAATCGGACCCAAGAGTCACATCTTATCTAAAAGGGGTGGAGACAATGGCCCATGTGGCTTTCCCAGACCTGCGCCCGGGGGTAGGACGCCAGGATCCAGGGGGCTCAAGGCACCTGGGCAGAGAATGGGCTGTTACCAGGTTACCAGGCTGGTTCTGGTCATCAGGCCACTGCCGAAGCCCACTGAAGGACCGATGCAGATACAAACATTTACCCCTCCCGATAACGAGGTTCCATTTCCCACACACCTAGATCCCCACTGAGTTAACGCCACGCTCGTAGAGCAAAGCCACAGTAAATATGACGGCCCCAGGTATCCAACAAACCCTTGAGGTCGCAAAAGCAAGACTTGACCATTCACTGAAGCTGTCAGGAAATTCCACCTCTCAGCTGAGCCCATCTTTTCCTGCCAGTGGCATGGAGACCTCGGCCCTGGCAGCAATGTGTTCAAGGAGGAAGAACACTGCTGGACACCTGAGGGGCTTGGGCACAGCATGCTTGGCTGTCCCCACCACTGTGGCCCTCTCTGGCAGTGGGGTTGGAGGTGCACAGAGCTTACCAGCCTCGCCGACAAAGACCTCCACGGGTGCGCTGGCTGGGCTCTCACCAATGATGTTATAGGCAGTCATTATTACTTCATAGCGCCGGTACTTCTTTAAATCTGCAGGGTTGAAGGAAACATGGATCAGCTTCCACCAGGACACCTTCTGTTCTTCCAAAGTTCCCCCTATGAACCACAATGAAGCAAGCAGCACCCTCCAAGGAGAGGAGCGAGGATTGTTAGAAATCTGTGAAATGCCTGCATCTTCTGTGACCAGGGCACCCTTCTTCTCTCCTCCATATTAATTAAGCACCCACCACCTTTAAGAAAAAGACGCATCCATCCTGTCCTGTGTTCAGGTAAAAGGCAGCATGGGCATGGAGCTCCCTCCTCTAACGTAAAGGATTTAGAACAGGGGTCCCCAACCCCTGGGCCACTAACCATGACCTGTGAAGAACCAGGTTGCAAAGCAGGAGGTGAGTGGCGGGTGAGCGAGCAAAGCTTCATGGGTATTGAGAGCTGCTCCCCATCTCTTGCATTGCACCTGAGCTCTGCCTTCTGTCAGGTAAGCTTAGATTCTCATAGAAGTGCAAACCCTAGTGGGAGCTGTGCGTGCGAGGGATCTAGGTTGCGCGCTCCTTATGCCTTGCACGACCTCGCTCCCTCGCACATGCGGTTCCCAATAGGGTTTGCACTCTTACGAGAATCTAATGCCTGATGATCTGTCACTGTCTCCACTCCCCGCAAGATGGGACTGTCTAGTTGCAGGAAAACAAGCTCAGGGCTCCCACTGATTCCACACGATGGTGAGTTGTAGGATTATTTCATTCTATATTACAATGTACTAATAATAGAAATAAAGTGCACAACAAGTGGGATGCGGTTGCATCCTCCCAAAACCATCCCCCACCACCTGGTCTATGCAAAAATTGTCTGCCACAAAACCCACCCCTGGTGTCAAAGTGGTTGGAGACCCCTGATGTAGAATAGAGAACATAACCTGGGCCTGCCTTTTGGTTCAGAATCTCTCCTTGAAATTATGCACAGATGGAGTAAGACTGTGGCATTGAAAATGGAATGTGGAAAGACACTGGTAACCAAAGGCCTCTGAGACCTTAGTGGCCATGTCCTGGGAAAGAACGGGCATGGGCTGCCGCACACAGAGAGCTCCCCGGGGCAGGGGCCAAGCGCCAGCTCTGCAGTAAGTGACAGGGTGAGAGTCATTGACCTTTAAGCCAAAACATTCTGGAATGTTCTCCCACTGGTTAACACTGCTCTGTGGGTGGCTTGGCTTTTCCGAGGCCCCGCGTGTGTGCCTGGCACCTCTGTGCTAGTGCGGATGGTGGTGCGCTTGGGCCATGCTGGACCTGTGCTGCCCTGCATATCACCCCCACCCCTGCAGGATGCTGGAACACAGCAGGCTCGGGGAGGGCCAGCCCCTCCCTCCTGCCTGGTCCACTTCCCAAACTGGCCAAGTTCCCTGTTGAAGTCGATCACATTATGGCTCCATGTCTAGCCCCTGAGTTGGATTTTGAAACTCCTCCCTAGCTAGGAATCAAAGGAGAAACAACACGGTTTGTTTAAAGGGCGAAGGGAGGCTGAGCGGATAAACAAAATGTGGTCTTTCATTCGACAGGATATTATTCAGTCTTGACTAAGATTCTGACGCCTGCCCTGACATGCATGGACCTTGAAGACGTTAAGCTCATGAAATAAGCCAGCCACGAAAAGACAAATACTACATGATTCCCCTTCTATAAGGTCCCCAGAGTTGTCGAATCCATCCAGACAGAAAGTTGAATGTGGGTGCTGGTGGGGATGGGGTATAAGGAGTTAGTATGTAACAGGGACAGTTTCAGTTTGGGAAGATGAGAAAGTTCTGGAGAATGATGGTGACGGCTGCATAATGGCCTGAATGTGCTTAATGCCACTGAACTGTACACTTAAAAATGGTTAAGAAAGTCCATTTTCTGTTATATGTATTTTAACACAATAAAAAAAGAAAGAGGCTGGGTGCAGTGGCTCACGCCTATAGCCCTAGCATCTTGGGAGGTTGAGACAAGAGGATCGCTTGAGTCCAGGCATTCAAGACCAGCCTGTACAACATGGCAAAACCCTGTCTCTTAAACAACAACAACAACAACAACAACAACAAACAATTAGCCAGGCATGGTGGCACAAGCCTGTAGTCCCAGCTACTTGGGGGGCTGAGGCAGGAGGATCACTTGAGCCAGGAGTTCAAGGCTGCAGTGAGCCGTGATCGCGCCACTGCACTCCAGCCTGGGCAACAGAGTGAGACTCTGTCTCTTTAAAAAATAAAATAAAAAAAAAAAAAGAGAGAGAAAAGAAAAGAAGAGAAAAAAGAAAGAGTTTTGAAATTATGAACAGATGGAGTAAGACTGGCATTGGAAATAGAATGTAAAAAAAAATAGAATGAAAAAAATAGAAAAAAAATAGAATGAAAAAAAAATAGAATAAAAAAAAAAAAAAAAGGAATACAGAAGCTGGAGAGATCTTGTTCTATCTGGCTTTCCTCTCTGTCCCAAACTTGAAGACCAGATATTAGTAAATTTCCCCAGCCTCTGTTTCTAGAAGCTTCCTTTCCTATCTCCCTGGTGGTTTGGTATGTGGAGACACAGCGTTTGAGAGGCGATTCCAGAAACTGGAACCATTAATCCAGGCTGGTTTTCCCTTGCACTGAGAGGCCGGCTGGCCCTGGGCACAGTGTGTGCGTCTCGCGGCGTGGGCTTCCCGCTGAGAGCGCACTTACGTGTTAGTTCACACATGGTCGATGTGGAGCTGCTGTTCACCATCTTGAAGCTGCTTTGGGCTATTGGGGTAAGCAAAGCAGAAAGGCGGTTAGCACGCAGGGACACGGCCATTGCAGGAGATGTGCGGCAGGAATGAGGGAGACAGGCGCCTTACTGGGATGCCAGCCACTGCCCACGCTGCACCTCCCAGGGCAATAAAGACTCCGCTGCCACCCACGCTTTCCACCCGCTCCCGGTGGGGGCTGCCACACCTCCTCATAAACACAAGGCACCCCAGTCCCAGACAGGCAGGGTGCCCTCACCACTCTGATTCAGTGAAACACATTAGTTTTTGGCACAACTTAGTACCAAGTGGCAGGACACCTTTTCTCCCAGTCACCCCAGGGCAGCTGCAGCTGACTCATGCTCACGCAGGGAGCCCCGGCTGGAGGAGCCGAGCAAACCACCACAGGGAGAGCTGCGCGACCAGGTGCATAAGTCCAGCGCATCCCGGGGCCTTCTACTGTGCTGTGTTTTGATTTTGTGACAAAGCCCAGGGAGATGGTAATTGTCTGGTGGTCAGCAAGGGCCACCTTCGGGGTGTGCCAACAGTGCAGACTACAGTGCTGCAATTTCCCATTTCCGACACTCATCAACACCATGCCTGGCGCTGTGTTGGGGTCAAGCTGTGTGAGCTCAGGAGCTGCCGCCGTCTGCACACGTGGCCTTATGGAGGGAACTGGGTGCGTGGAAGGCCCCGCAGCTGGCTTTGGCGAGTGAAGCAGGCAGCCCCGATGCCATGGGGATGGCAGAAAGCGGGAGGGCGCTGTCCACACGGTGTGTTCTGGAGCTGCTCCCTCCTCTGTCCCCGGCACGAAGATGTCAAGGGGCAAAGAATATTTTTGTGACACCATTTGCTGGGTGCCAGGAAATGAACCCCCTCTAACCTCCGTCCAACAGAGGAGGGGTGGGAGTGGGCAGCCATCCCTCCCCAGGATTCTAGAAGCTGCCTTGAAGGCAGCTGGGCCCTCGTCTGAGCAATGATCATGGCGCAGTGCAGGCCGAGCCAAGATCAGCCCGAGGGTGAGCACCACGGGCTCCATGCTGAGGCTGTGCCTGGTACAGACAGGTGGGGCCTATGTCTGTACCAGGGGCCTGGACTTGGGTTTTGCAACAGGTTCCCACTGGCCCCCTGCCTCCATCTCAGGCCCCAAAGCCCTTCCCCACTGATGCGGGGAGCATGCAGTCCCTGGAGGCCTGGCAACCGCTCTCCCCTTAACACAGTCTGTGGCAGACAAGGCCCCTCTGCCTCCTGCAGCTGCACCGGCCTGCAGCACACCTGCACTCCACGTGCCCCTGGTGGGTAAACCTGCCTGCTCCCTGTTCCCAAGAGCAGGGCTGCCTCTTCTCTCAGCCTCCTCCGCGGCATTTCCCACCATGATGTGCACTAAACAGATGCTGAGGGTCCCCTGGGACCCTCGCTCCCCGCGCCAGGACAGAGGGGACAGTCTCACCTGTGAGCTCAGCACGTAAAGCTATAGGGCTTTTGAGCGTCTTGGCCTCGGTGCCTGACCCAGCTTCATACTCCAGCTCCCGGTAGTAGATCCTGTATCCCTGAAGAAGGCCGTTCAGGCTTTCGTCCCTTGGAGGCTGCAAAGACATCACACCGACTCGGTCACACGACGGGAGTCAACCCAGCTGGCCTGCAACGGGGCTCACCTCCACCCGTTTAACTAGCCAGCTACACAGAAGGAAGTCGCGGGTTCCAGCGACAGGTGTCAGATTCGTCAAGAGGAACCCAGGCAGCTCCCAGGGCACAGCACCGAGCTGTGGAGCCACTTTCAGAATGCCGGTTTTCACGTGCATGTGTGTGGGGACATAAATACTTTGTCCCCCGTCCAGCTCAAATCCTCAAATGAGCCCCCAGGTTGGGGCAGGAGGCTGGGGACAGACGCGGATGGCGAGGAGGCTGCGTGCTGTGCGGTGAGCCCAGAGCAGGGTGGAATCTCGAGAGGCGGCCTGCTCTGAAGCACCTACCAGCTGACCCCACCCTCCCTCTCAGCCCCCGGCCACCCAGGCTGTGACTGCCTTACCGTGCCCCTCACTGATGCTTCCCCATGCCAGGCCACCCCCACTGTGCCTGACTCAGGCCTCAGGCTGGAATCCCCTTGGCCCCTCGTACGATGGCTGGCCTGGCCTATCGCCTTGCGGTGTGGTGATCTGTTTCAGCTGCCCCAGGCAACCAATACACCCTTGCCATCCAGCTCTCACCCTGCAGTTCTTACCAAGCCATGGCTAGGCACTCATTAGATGCACATTAGACTCCCATGGAATAGGGAGCATAGGCAGATAAGAAGTGGAGGTTCAGGTCTTGCTGGAATCTAAACACAGGAGTTGTTTTTGCACTCATCTGGGTGCTGACCCTCCAAGCATCTGGTCTCTCTTCTTGGGATACTCAGATGGGAGATAAGGAACAGGAACATTCTAAGCTCTGACCAGGAGATGGCTGAAGATGAGGCCATGGAGCCTCGTCCAAGGACGGATGTGCACGGAACTTCTGGTGCCGTGCTCACTGTGAGGCCCTCACACCACAGCACCATCCTGCTCCCTGGGCAGAGCCGCAGCCTTGCCACACGAGAGTCCCTTTGCTGTGGGTTGAACTATGTCCCCCTAAAAGACACGCTCAAATCTAAGCCCTGTCGCCTGTGAACCTGACCTTATTTGGAAATAGGGTCTTTGCACGTACAATTGGTGATGACAGGGTCGTACTGGATTAGGGGGAGGGTCCTAATTTGATGAGTGGAGGGAAATTATGAGAAGAGGGAAGTTTGGACACAGGACACACAGGTGGAACAACCAGTGAAGATGGGGACAGAGTCTGGAGTAATGCGTCTGTAAGTGAAAAACACCAAGAGTTGTTGTTGGTCACTGGAAGCTGGAAGAGGCAGGAAGGATCCTCCCTGGAGCCTTCAGAGGGAGAAGGACCCTGACGACACCTTGAGTTTGGACTTCTGGCTCCCAGAGCTGTGAGAGAAAACGTTCTGCTCTTTCCAACCACCTAATGCGTAGTAACTTGTTTTGCGGGCCCTGGTAAATAACACATCCTTGCATCCAAACTCTCTCCGATCCTCACTCTCTGAACCCAGGCACCAAAAGGGGTTGGTTCAGAGAAATCGCTTTCTCTTTGGACTCTTGCTACTCACGAGGCAAAACCCACACGTGGAGGAAGCGGTGTTCTTTGCACCCCAGGCTCTCTGATAGAATGGCTTGGATAGCGAGGGGGGCTTGCACTGCGGTAGCAACGAGGACGACACTCACTCACACATGCAACATGTGACACGCACACACCAGAGGGGCACTGTGTGTACCCAGCGGACTCAGGAGGTTTTCCAAAATGAGGTCTGCGACCACGTTAGCTCAAGCAGCCCCCAGGTCACTGCCATGCAGGGCTGCCAGCAGCCGTCCCTCTCCGTGGACTTTCTGACTCCCCTACAATACTCCCAATTCAGGAAAAGCACGAAGGGATATAATCCCCCCGTAAGGCACAGAAAAGCATAACGGGAACACCTGAGTGGACTTGCTGGGTCTTTGCAATCCACATCCGAGGGGCCCTGCAAACCCACACCCTTAGACACCACTCCAGCCTGGACACAGCTCCACTCCTGGCCTAGGGGTATTCGACCCCAGTGTGCAAACCCAGGGGCTGAGAGAGCTGTTGTTCGGGGGGCTGCATCTGAGTCCCCATGGTGTGCTTGTCAGTGCCCCACAGCCCTCTTCAATTTTGCAGAAAGTGACAAGGGTCACGTATCCATCCTGTGGGCTGCAGCCCCAGGTCCGAGGACTCCCGCTGCCCACCACGGAGCAGAGACGGGGACACGGCGCTGCCTGGCATCTGGCTCCAAATTCTCAAATGGAAGGTGGAGTTGGGCTAGTATCTGGGAGGGACTTTTTTTCTGCTGGCTTTTCCTTTTTCTCTCTTTACCCTTCATTGGCTACCACCAGCAGCTGAGGGGACCTTGGTGCTGGCTCTGCTCCAGCCTCTCTGCTCTGGCCCCGGCTGGCCGCCTTCACAGGGCCAGGGTGTGCTCAGACACCAGGCCAGAACCGCTGAACCAGAACCCGGGACTTCAATGTCAAATGAGGCTCTCTTGTTTTTGCTTTTTTTTTTTTTTTAAGCTATAAAAAAACAAGACACCCCGCTAAATCAGAATCTGAAAATGATGGTTCTGGAATTCAGATGTAACTGGGCATCCCAGGTTTTCTCTGGATACCCGCTCCCTCCCTGGCACTGCTTGCCTTCTGTCGGGACAACCTACAGATGGAAATGCCTTTCAAAGCGCCTCCAGTAATAGCGCTAGAGAAACAAAGCAGAGAGTGAGCCAGCACAGATGAGGGTCTCTCCAGGGTGCAGTGTACCCGAGGCAGCGGCAGACGATCAGCAAGGCACGGCAGGGTCCCTGAGGCACGTGGCCAGCACATCCGTCCACACCCTGTGGCCACTGACCACTTTCTCCAGCAGGGAGCCCTTCACCGGCTCATGGGGTTCCCAGCACTGCTCAACTTGCCAGGAAAACAAAATAAAACCCAAACCTGAGTCTGGGAAGCTGAGAGCTGGCAGAAAAGGAAGGAGGAAGAATGGGAGGCACAGTCCAGAAGCTGGATGGGGGAGCAGGCAAGGGAGGCTACAGTGTCTGCTGATTGTATTAAATGCTCTTTTCCTTTTCTATGATTTTGACGATAGAGCAGCGTTTGGGATGCCAGCAATAGTCACTCACAGGTGTCCTGCACTGCTCCTTTGCTCCTTCTCCAGCTCCCCCATCCCAGGCCCCCAGTCCCACTCTGCACCCCTTCCCTTAGGGCTGGGCATATCAGATGGTCTCCTAAAAACCGGGGTGCTGACGGGGTTCGTGTTCAGTGTCCTCCCTGTGGAGTCTACAGAATCGCGTTCAGAGCAGCTTTTAGGTTTTCAGTTGTTTTACTCCCACTCTTTAAAAATTAGTCCCTTGTGCTAGGAGCGGGCACCGGTCAGCATTGCATGCAATTGCAAACTGGCTCCAGACAGTGTCGTGGTGAAAGCACCACCAGAGATGTGGGGGCGTGGTGGAAATCCTGTGTGTGCATAACACACACACACACACACTTGCACATCCACTCACATCACCACACAAGGGGGTTCCAGGTCATCTGCTCTTTCTTTTCTTTGAGACAGGGTCTCACCCTGTTGCCCAGGCTGGAGTGCAGGGGTGCGATCAGAGCTCACTGCAGCCTCGACCTCCTGGGCTCAAGCGATCGTCCTGCCTCAGCCTCCTGAGTAGCTGGGACTACAGGCCTGCACCACCACACCCGGCTAATTTTTAAATTTTCTGTAGAGATGAGGTCTCACCATGTTGCCCAGGCTGGTCTTGAACTCCTGGGCTTAAGTGATCCTGCAGTTTGCTCTTTCAAACTCTAGCCCTGGTTACTGAGACTGAAATTAAAACCCTTATTTTGTAAGGCATCCTTCTTCAAACATAACTGTTAGCCACATTGAAATAGAAGGTTTACTTAACCTCCTTTTTAGAAGAAATATAATGGATGGAAAAGTTGGAAAAGTCAGTATGTGAGACTGAAGAGAGGCGATTCTCCGCAGGCCATGTGGCTTTCAGAGAGAGGAGACAGAGTGGTTTCTGCACTGAGCCACAAGCAAGTGTTCTCCATGGCTGTTTGCTCTCCATGGTCATTCTGCTGACTACGTCCACAGGGAGGGAGGGCAGTGCCCGGAGCCACCAGGAAGGCCTGGTGCTCTGGCTCCTTGAAAAGCTGCACCTGTCTCCTCACACTGACTCACCAAGAGCTCAGGGCATCTTACGGGGGGATCACAGACAAACACTGAGCTCCGCCACTCGGAGAATGTATTCCAGCCTTGCCATCTCATTGCATCTATGAGATCTCCTGAGCTATCGTGCACCAGGTGCCAGGGAGTGAGTGAGGAAGGCGGCTCTGAAGCCTCAGAAAGAGCGAGCTCTGCGGGGAAGAACTGGAGGATAACTGCAGGGAATGGTGTTTGAGCTGCCCTTGGAGTAGGAGGCGGCTTTTGATGAGGGGAGAAGGGCTGGCCCTCTGTGAGGCGGGCACGGTGCCTGGTATAGCCCCACTAGACAGGAGTCAGAGGTGTGAAGGGCAGGGGCAGGTCTGGGTGGGTCTAGGAGCAGCAGCCAGGCTACGGGGACAGTTCCCAGCGCCTGAACCAGGACTACCCCAGGTTCCAGGTCAGTCCCCACTTGGGTGGGCTCCCCAGAAGGAGACTGGCCAGAAAGGAGCTTCCTCCAATCCACTGGAGCCACGGATGGGCTTGATGGGTTCCTGGGTTACTGCTATTCCCGGTAACAATCAGTCTTGCAAAAATGCACATACAGGAGCCCTTTGCTGAAGGAGCCCCAGAGACTTCCAAGACCCTGGGGGCTTCTGACTTTCCTCTCCCGGGCCGCTGACAAGCACACAGAAACATGTCCCTGCTAAAGGCTTTCACCCAGCACGTGGCTGTGCACCCAGAGAGCCTGCTTTTTTTGCCCAAGGCTCCTGGTCCACCCAGATGGTCCCAGGTGGTCCTGCTGGGAGTCCTGTCCTTGCTGTTCACACTGGTGGTGGGGTGGGAGTGGCTGGAGTCTGGG